ATCGCCCTCAAGATCGCCACGATTTAGTAGCGGCTGGGAGGCTTGGGTCGGGACGTTACCTGACTCTGCGACGCTCTGCCACCGAAGGCTAGGCTTGCGGCCATCGGCGACGTTCGTCGTTTCAGTTTCGAAACCTCCGCCTAAATTGTGGGCGTTCCTGCTCGAGTTATTACGAGTTTTTGTTTGAACGTAGTTTGTTGAGAAGTTTGTGGTGGGAGTGTGTGCAACTGTGCTTGAAATTCACCTGACGAAGGAAATGAAGGGAAAATGCCAGAAGGTGAGTTAAAAAGGAGTGTTCTTCCAGACGCTAGAATACCATTTGAAGGTTATTGTTACTGAACTTTAAAATATACTAGGTGTTATACGGTCAGTAAAAGCATAAAGGGTGATCACGATATTCCTTATTGCTTCGACTGACACTGACAACTGCCAATGTCCGTTGCTAAGATTCTGCCGTCAATCGCTTGCTTTATTGTTACTAGTTACACATTGATAGATACGCTTGAGTGAAAATGTACGGCACGGAAGGACAGTTTCAGTTGAGATTGTCGTCGACTGCGACCTCGTCGACCCTAACTCTTAACATAACTGTTCTCTCTGGGACTATCTAAATGGAATTTCTGTTGTAGTAGAAAATAATGCATACTATCTCGATTACTTTGGCACCGCTCGTCGATCTTGAATGTGTAATATTCACTATGGTCGAGTAGAACCGGATTAAGACGCTAAACCTGTCATGGATACTTAATACCCACTACGATCAGAAATATTTTGCTGCTGCGATACAGTAAGCTTTTAAATAATTGTAGGATATTCAGTAATATTACTTAGGAATGTTTGTTTTAAAAAAGCAGGAAAAGTATACCTATGTGTTCTATACTGACATTAGAGTACTCCGACAAAGCCTATTTGTGATTCATTCATAATAACGCTTCTATTGCTCATTTAATCGAATACTCAACAATGCTTCAATAGTTGGAATTGGTAATACTTCAGACGTACTGTACTATTGTCTCCAAAAATATTTTCTGAGATTTTATTCGACACGACGTCTTTAATGACTTGTACTAAGTTTTTCGAAAAAAAATTGAATTCGCTTCTTTAGAGTAGTACTCTGGTATTACTCTAAATGAATGGAACGTATTGAATGGTACATAATATTGTAACTAATATCCGGGAAACAAAAGTATTGTAATGAACTCTCATGGTCATCTCAAACTTAGTGGTGTTTATGGTCAGTCCCAGAATGCCTTCCGTAACATTGAAGGGAACACATTGAAGGGGGCACATTACTGTAGAGTGCAATTTAATTCAACATCTGTGCAACAGTTAAGTGAAATCGATCGGCTTTTGATTTCGCGAAATGTTTGTAGCTAGCGGCCCCCTTTAAGGCCAAGCGCGTTTCACGGTCAGCCCTGCGCACGGCGGGCCGCACGTGGCAGAGGCGCTGTGTCCTGTAACGTCACGGCCGCCGCTCGCCCGCGCAGTCGCGCTCGTTCGCGCCCGTGATGGGATCTAATGGGCGCAATTGATGGCCGAACGTGTCGGCGCCTGGGCCACCAAAAAGCCGCGCTCGTCTGTCCAACGAGGCTCCGGCGCCAGTGGGGGATACGCAATGGTGAACATCTTACGGCTGTCTGTTGAACGAAATGATGTACAAATTATAAATATATTTCTAAATAGGGAATGTGGAGTTGGGTGGCTGAATATCGAATTGAATGGAAAGTCTGAGGCCGTTAGGCACAGGAGAACATTGTTCTCGGGACATATTCGACCTTGAACAGTGCAGTTCACCCCTCTTTTTAGATCTACCTTTTCTATTACATCCTAACATTTTGATCTGTTAAATATAACTGGAACTTTTATTAATTTTAGTCAGGATTTAACACATAAACATTAATTAAAAAGAAGGAAGGCTAATCATAAGTACTTATATTTCAACAGTGAATCGTCTGGTTTTGGCAGCGTTAAGACGACTATTCTCAAGATATTCTGTCACCATCTGAGCACTTGTTCGTGCAAGGTTAGATAATGTTGCTTTCACAGATACTCAGTGTTCCATTTTGCCCAAATTAATCAAGTAATTACTCGAAACCCTTTTAAGATCTCCGTACATTATTTCCACTCGCGCGCTCAGAAAAAATAGTGATTCCCATTGCTCTAACCAGTGAGAAAACAATTTTATTCAGACATGAAATTGCATTTTCTTCCTACTTTTCTCAATTTGTTGATAAAACATTGGGTATATTACTTTCAAATGAAATATGTAAAAACTATGTCAGTGTTTTAAATAATAACCTGGAAAAAGAGCCCCAATATAATTTTCTGCTATTTTTAAGACGGGTCGTACGCACGTAGACCTTGTAGAGTTTCTTTAAAAAAATACAATTTAGAAATGAAAACATTATCAATATGATTAAGTAGAATGTCAAAAGTGATGTTGCATTAGTCTTAGCAGAAATGATTTAGTCCTTTTGAAACGATTCTGGACACTAATAGACGATATTTTATTAGGTTTTTAATTGAATGAATTGCGTTTCATTTACCTTACCTTTTTATGTATTGACTAATGTGTTGCATGATTCAGCTCTTTGCTCCATTACTTTACAAGTTTCTTATTTGCGAACTGTCGGTGCGAAGAACAACATGTTTTTTGAAGGAATAACTGTGAAATGTGACGAGGTAATTTAATTTTGATTATTATGTAGAGAGCAACTAGAAATAAAAGAAAGTTGTTTGAAATGGAAGGCGTAGCGACTCGGTAGTAGTGTTGTAACATATTCTATTGACGTGCTCGCTGATGATGGCGTTAAAAACTTACGATCCTCATGCAATAACCAGTGCTTCACCGGCTGAGAACAAACGGGTCATGGTGTGTGCGCGATCTACCCTTCCTCATTTGTGTCTCCTCTCACCTTATACACATTACGTGTACTTCACCATCACATAGTGAAACTAGTCGGGAGCTTAAAGCTTGTCCAAGCTAGGGCGATCCCCCACCGGGGAGGTACCTTAAAGGGGAAACCTCGCCAGATATCACTGCCCAGCGGGCGAGGAACACCGCCATCTCCCGGGTCTAACATGACCACACTCACGCGGCAAATGGCCAACGTCGTTTGACAGGCCCGGAAACCACTTCCTTGCCTCTTTTCTCAGTTATTGAGGAATTCCTAGAAACGCGCCCGTCCATTGCTTGTCGCCCTCTCCCGCGCGGCTGCCCCGGGGCCGCGGTGTTGAAGGGCGCGGGGCGCGGTTCAAGGCCCACCGGTGTGCAGCGGGGAACGCCGGTCGCTGCAGCTGGCGCGCTGCCCGCGCCCTGCCTTTTCACACGCTTGCTTATTAGAAGTGAACGAGTACCCGCGATCTGATTGCCGGCGCTCGCCCACCGGCCCTCGACAGGCTCGTTCGCGCTGCCATAAGCGACGTGAGCGCAGTTTTTTTTTCGTTGGGCGTTGAAGAGTAGGAGGGGCCTTGAGCGTAGGATCGCACGACCTAACGCCTTTGAAAGAAAAAAAAAGAATTGTCGTGTGGGGCGTAACCGTATTTTGTATCATGGCGAATGCTGTAATTTCGATTTTCCATGGGGAATTGAAGGTCCAGTCAATTTGACATTTTTTATCGATAAGTTTATGTATTTGTATGTTTAAGGAATTTTTATTTAAATATATAACGTGTTCAAGTGAAATGTTGGATGGATTACTATTGATTCTAATTCTAAATACTGAAATTGTCCATTTTTTGACAACGGCTTCTGCGGATGGGGGCGGCCGAAGCCCCATTAAAAATATTTGCTTATATGTTTTGTACAAAAGGTGCTCTGTTAATACTTTTTACAATCAGTTAAATCCTTCAACAATTGTGAAAATTCGGTAGTCTTTGGCAAGCAACGTACAGTTTTATTGAAAATCTTGAATTTCACTGTCACGAATCTTTGAATTGGCAGATGGGTTGTGAAATTTTCAACTATTATTAAGTTAATAGATAACGGTACAGAGTTGTATCGCTTAATCTGCAAAATCACTACGCAGGTCTCGGAAATCACCAATATTAAAAAAAAAAATTGCAAAATTAGGAGTTTGAAATGGCTATTTTTACGGTGCAATTCATCAAGAACGCCGGCATTGAAAAGCGTGACATTTTGTCGATGAGGTGAAGTTGCTGTAATTGTAATTAGAGAGGTCTTCCTTCGAACCACAGGAACGCCGTCTGATTATAAGCGACCTTGTCTCTCGGGCCAATAGGCGCAATGGCGACATTTATGGGGCCCCAATTACCCTCGAGCGCGGAAGCGCGGGGCTCCGCCATACCCCCCGGGGGGGTGAGGGACTTGGGGGCTCGGAGGTCTTTCCGGGGCGATCGCCGACGCTGGCGTGCAGGCCGGGCGGCGAGGCTGCCCGATTGCACCGGGGCGCGGGCAATATCAGCGAGTGGGGCGTCGCTGCTCCGCCCCGGCGCGGCGGCCCGCGCGCCAAGTGTTGCGTGCGCAAGGCCCGGCCTCCGCGCGACGATGCGCTTCACCCGAGGGCCGAGCGGACGCGGGCCGGCCTTGCGAGGCCGCGTCGCTGCCGCCGCCGCCGCGCTTCGGGAAACGCTGCTGGAATCTTAATTTTATGTATGGCTGGTGAAAATGCCGGGGGGAACCAAGAGCCGTAGTTCCGCTGTCGTAGGTCCCCGGTGCAAGTCAGTTCAAACAATACCTACTAGTGCTTGCAGTTCTAGTGCTTGCAGTTCTAGTGCTTGCAGTTCTACTGCTTGCAGTTCTACTGCTTGTAGTACTTGTAGTAGTATTAGTACTACTAGTATTAGTAGGTATTGGTTCAAATATGTATGTTGATGACGTAATGACGTGATGTAGCTAGCGTGGTGATGAATTAGAGTAGAAACGTGGGGTGATACTTTGGGCCCGATTCTCAAACAGTGAACATTTCTGACTATAATACGTGCGTACCTTCGTAAAACCAGAGTATTCGACCTTTGATTTTGGTCGCCAGTAGGCGGTTTGTGGAGATTCTTCTGAGGAGACCCGTTAGGCTTTTTATGGCTTGGTGCCCTTCCGGGTAAATTATTCCTGCACGTTAATAGAAAACGTAACATTACGGGAATTACAGACCATACACGTACCACTGCTAGTGTAATGATTTTCCTTACAATGAAAAATACTTCTTGAAACAGGCTTTTTGACATTGAACTCAATATGTTTTTACGTGTTATTACTCTTCTGACCTTACCTCTTAGCACTTTCTAAGATGTATTTTCTTTCTTACCAACTCGAGGTTCGCGATGGAAGGACATGCATAGAATTCAGTGACCACTACTGCAGCACCTCTGTCTATGCATTTTCGTTTGACTTGGCAACCGCCTCGTCGCGTGAGGAACCCGCGTAGCCTCCCGCAGTTGTTAAGCGAGCTCCTTGCGAAACCGAAAGTAGTTTTCCTTAGAGAACAAGAGCACATCGCCTATTACTGCGGTGGTAATAAGCGGTGCTCCGGGCCGGGTCGGGCGGGGCGGGGCGGGCCGGCGAGGACGCCATCCTCCCGGAGGCTGTGTGTGGTGAGCGGGGCGCAGGTGCGTGGAGGTGAACCGCGGGGGGCCGAGCAGTGAATGGCGCCGCGTCCTCGCCGGCCGCCTGCCGTATCTGGGCCGTGGTTATCTGCGACGGGGTCAGGGTCGCAGGAGAGTACGTCTGCCACAGCGGCGCGTCACTGGGCTGTGGAAACCTCGTCATTCCGGCTTCCTGCCTTTTACAATAGAAACAAATAATTTGTTATTAAAATAATTATTTGATAAGTGAATCCTTTAATTTTAAATGCGAGGTGCCAACCGTAGTATTGGAAGAGTCGAGTCACATAAAAGTAATTTAAAAGAAGTATCTCTAAATTTGGAGTTATGAACCGTTTCCACTGCCTCTTATCACAAATGTTTGTGAAAACATAAAAATTGACCATAATAATGATGCATTGGGAAACGAAAAAACTTGAGAAAAAAAGCATTGAACGTCTTCATAAGACAAAAAACAGGAATTTTAGAAATATTTTTGTAGAAAAATCATAAGTTCTCTAGCGAGGAGGTTGGAATGCTGTTAAAAATGATCGCGTCTCCAATAGCACGAATATTAAAGTAGTTGCCACTGCTTCTGATATTGCCAGCAGTGTTATTTGGTGATGTATCTAGGAATCGGCCAACGTTCTGATATAAAGTGTTAATTTGAGAAAAACGTTTCAACTTCAAAACGTTTGACATCCACACTGCACTGACACACTGCAGTATATTAGTTACGTATTTTGAGTTCTAACTGGAGTGTTTGAAACCGTTTCATTGGCGGGAGAACATCGTTAACGCCAGTACGCGAAGCATTACCAAGCAAAGATAAGCGTTGCCACCGGCGACGCGAGCGGTGGAGACGGCGACGGCGGCCCGGGGAGTGGGCGGAGGCGCGGAACCGGCCGGACGGCCTTGCCGAGTCCGGCGTTCGCGTCCCGTTACTCGCAGCGGCCGGCGAGGGGCGGGAGGGAGCGGCGGCGCCGCGGGCGAGGGCGTGGGGCTCATCCGGCCGCTTCCCTCCCTCGCTCTCCCCCCCTCTCCCCTCCCAACCCAGGAGTGGGCGACACGACGCGACGCGTTGCGTAATGCCTTGTGGAGGAGCTATTTTCGGATAGACGCATAGTTGCGTCTGAAATGAGCTCGGAGGCGGTGGCGGGCGGTTGGAATGGTTTTTTTTTTGGGCGGTGCGGGCGCGCCTGCCACAGCTCTGCCCGCGCTGGCCTCGGGCCTGCGATATGCTCGCCCCTTCCCGCGCCGGGCGGGCGGCGCCTGCGCGCCAGAGGGTGTTGACCGCGCGAGAAGTTCGAGGTCGCCTTATCAGTCTTCTGTTTCCATCTGGCGCGCAGGCGGCGCGGGGGCCTCACATGGAGCATCCTGCTTTGAGACAGTTCGTTGTAGAGAAGGCTGATTGTTCCATTCTGAAGAACGGAAGGAACATATTTTTTTTTCTTCTGGGCTAAATTAATACTTGTTTCATACTGCATACATAGTGTATGACGGTCCTATTTTTTTCTTATCTTGTGGTTTTAGCAACCTCTCAGTTCAGAATTAATATGCTGCTATGATAAGAATGGTCCGCGTGATAAAAATCCAAATCTCCCTAAGAAAGTACTTATTCTTCTTCTGTCTCTGGTTACACGAGAACTGAGGGGTGTCGTCACACTCATAGATGACAGACGTACGCAGTCGCAACGCACCATGGTCATTCGCAGTGATGGCCAACGAGTGACGGGTGACAAAGACTCGATTATTAGGTCGGCGATGTTTGGATTGCATCGGCGTCGGGCGCTGGCGCGGGCGCGCGCGCGCGTGTGAATGCTCGCGCGGGCACGTCGTATTTCTGTCGCGGCCGTCACTGTCGCCGGCTCCGCGGCCGCGGGGAGTGTGCGCGGGGCCGTACAAGGCTCTCTCGGTTAGTCACCGGCTCGCGACGCCTGCTCCCACATGGGGCGGAACGCGAGAGGAGCGAAAATGAACGGAAAAATAGTTCCATCGTCACCTCAACATGTGGAACAATTTTTTAGAGGCCAGTTCAAGAGAATAATTCATGTTTTATATAAATTCCATACTTGTAAGCACCTACTTTTTTAACCGGATATTACTTCATATTTTTAATAATAATAATAATAATATGATTTAAACAATTTGAAGAATTGAAAAGCCGTAATTTTCAACGTCATTCATTTGCATATTTTGAAATGATATAAAGAGGGATGCATGATTAATTTTCAAAAGAAAAAATGTAGGTCACGTCACCTCATGTAAGCGGGTTAAATATTGGTCCAAATGACACAGTAAATGAAAATGAAAGTAGTGATACCCAATGAACTACGTTCTTTCTATGATCATAAACCTTAAAAATAGAAATCCTGAAAAGGGAATTAAAAGCGGCGGACGTGCTCATTTTGTTTTATATTATTTTTGTGTTGTGTGATGTGACACAATACTCCCTGCGCGCATGCGTCTCATTACGCGCCGCTGTGCGTCAGGGCGGAGGCGACACGTGGGCGACGCGAGGCCGCGACGTCTTCGTAGCATATTGCGCGTGACTCTCCGTCATGCCTCAAATGGCTGGCGAGTTCGAATGGCTGAGTGATGGGCAACACATCGGTTCAAGTGTTTCTTTGGTCTTGACTTTGTGTTTTGTGGGTGTTCGTGGTAGTAAGACATCAAATAGGGTGTAACTAGAATGACTGCGTTCAGAATGGTTTGGAAAGAAGAATACGTTTATACGTAAGAAGCAAAGGAGGTGATGTTTATTATTTGAATTCGATCCTCAACGTTGTATGTTTTTATATGCTCTCAATTCCTGGAATTGACAACTATCACCTCATAAATTACATTTGATACTGAACGAAGATTTTATAATGTAATTCTATAAAAATCGACTGAGATGGTCGGTCATTATATTAATTATCTTCCTTTGCATCTCACGAGATTTATTAGTACAGATAGTATGAATATACTGAGTGCGTATTAATAAGTGCAGTAGACTGAGCGTAACATTTAAAGTAAGAATTTCCCGAAAGTGTCATAAAAAAACAACAAACAATAAGACGAATGAACGAAAATGGTTGTTGAAATACTAGTTAGGCCAAGAGTATTCATGACTCATTTACAGCTCTTGAAAAACCTTTTTTAGGCCCCTTTCAACACGCTTCTATTACTGCGTGTTCACATACGAAAAAACGAAAGATTCCGTGAAAAACAGTTTGTCGAAACTATCGCACTCCTCAGTAGACGGAGCACCGTCGCATAAACAGCTTTGTGCGCGTCACGACAGCGCGGCTGAACCGCTCAGCCTGAGAGCACGTGAGCGGCACACCGCCCTCACCAGGTGGGCGGAGCCTCCGCTTGCATCACACACACCTTGAGCCCCCTCCCCTGCTCTCTGGCGAGGCACTTCCGCGTGGGCTGAAGGTCCATTATTCGTCTGCCTCTCGGTGCGACTCTTAAACAATGAGACAAATCATTGAGCAGTGGAGAATTTTGGGGGAGAAGTATATAGGCCTGAGACTTAGGTCAATGAAAACATAAGATTCTTGCCTCGTTAAAAACCTGAAAGACATTTTGAAGTTTTCTTACTCTCCTAGCAAGCCAAACATTTTTCGGAGAAAAAATGCGTTAAATTGAGTTTAAAAAAAATGTTTTGGGGGCAGTCTATTTCCTTTTGAGAAATATATGATAATTTAATTCACAATGAAACAAGTTTTAAATTTTCATTTCCTCAAAAGAAAATCTTCAAGTTCCGTTTTTGATATACAATTTCGCGAATCTGTGTAGTTGATCTTCAACAAATCTCAGAAATTATAGTTGAGTAAACACATTTATCAAAAGACATTCTTTACATTGAAAAAATGTCAAATTTACCGTGCAGTATGATTACAGTATTCTTTACGTTTTAGCGTGTAGTATGTTCGAATATTTTTCGAGTCGAAAGTGTTGCGAGTTCCCCACGTACAGTTATGAGCACTAGTTGTTTAGGAATGTCCTTCCCCAACTTCTCCGTGGACTCGATCTCGGGCTAGTCCGGTGCGAGCGCCCCGTCCCGCTCAGCGAAGCCCCGCAAGGGGAAGGACAAACGCAGCTAAATTTAGCCGCGGCTCTTGACGTTTATTTTAAAGAGGCGCTAGGAAGCGAGTGAGGTCGGCCGCCGCCGTGGGCGCGCGCCAGCGAGGGCGTAGACCGAGACACGCCCGCGGAGAAGGCCCTTGGAGGGCGAACAACCGCACAGCCTTCCCGGGCGCGCGCGTACGCCACGACGACATCGCCTGGCGGCGCTGCGCGGCCGTGCCTCCGCGGACCGAGTGACGTCACTCATCTCATTTGCCTCATTCCGCCGCAAGGTTGCACCACATTATCATTGGTCGGCGGCGGCGCGCCTTCCCATTGGTCTGACGTCACGGACGCCTTTCACTGCGCGCCGGCGTTGCCTGGTAACACGGCGAGGGGAAGGGGCGCGCGGCGCGGCGGGTGGGGAGGGGAGGGAGGGGGTCGGGGGGCGCGCGAGGCGCGCGGCGGGCTGTGTGTAGTGGGGCAGTGGGAAGCGCAGCTGCGCGGCCGGTCCGCTAGTCGTGGTCTCCGGTGAAGTCGCTGGCTTGTGGGGGTCAGTCGGCTGTCCGCGTGTGGGCGAGTTCGGTGAGCTGTCGTGTCGGGTAGTGTAGTGTGTGTGTGTGCGCGCGCGCCGCGGCTTGTGGACGAGATCGCGGAGTGTGCGCGCGGACCTTTCGGCAGGCAGTCGGAGTGAGAAGGAACGGGCGAGTGCAGTTACGAGCCCGGCCTAGCGAGGTGGGTACACGCACAGAATGTTCGCGAAGTGTAACGGCCAGGTTCGGCACTTGTTGAATGAGGCCAGTACGTATTACGGATTCGTTGGTGGTACTTCTAAATTGTTGGCAGAAAGTCATGAATGCTAATATGAAGTGACTCGGCATATCACAACGATTCGCTGCGAAAAGAGAACTAGTACTTATAAGGCGGCACTCATTAATGCAAGGTTGCATAGTGTCGGTCTTTGCTACTCGCATCGTTCTAATATAGAGGTGCAGTTAAATTTTTGTTGATTGGTGTTGACCTGCTGCTTCGTGTGATGCCGCAGTGCTCTTTTGACTTACAAAAGAGGATGTCTGGTTGAGAGACACTCTTGTGACCTTTTGTAACGTGCGCGGGCTTCGGCCTTGGGATTTTCTGGTTTCTCTGCACGACTCTCACGATTGTGCTTGTAATAGTGTGCTTAGCGTTGCGATTTCGTACTGAGGTTCGCGATCTTTAGTGAACTATAAACAGAGTTTTGAAACTCTGATCGTTTCAATGTCTGATATTTCTAATGTGAGATTTGTATAGGTGTACTGAAAAACCGTTTTCTTTTTTTTTGCAGTGCGGCTCTCTGGAGGTGGGTGAAGACCGCCGCCGACGGGTCACCATGGAGACTCTGAATAACTTGGGGCAGCAGGCGGCAGCGGCGGCGGCGGCCGCGGGCAAGGGCGACGCCGACGGCTCCGGCGCCCCGGGC